CGTGGCCCCGATCCTAGTCCTCACCCTTATCTCCGGGGTGCCCCCGGGTTGGACACGTTCCAGCAGCCCGCTCCCTCCGGGTGTTCGAGGCTGCTAAAGGCATCCGACAGCCGGCATCAGCCCTAGCTTTTCCCCGCGCGGCCCCTTTAAGGCCGCGAGAGGTTCCCGCCGCATGTCGCGCGTGGGAGTCACGTGGGCGGGACGTGGAAGGAGCGTATTGGCTCCCCACCCCCCTTCCATTGCAATCAGCTGTTACTGGGGCGAAGGGCAGGAAACTGCCTTAAAGGGGCACCGCGGCGCCGCCCGCACAGCACCCCCAGCTTCGGGGCGCGGCCCCTTTAAGGAAGTTGCCCAGTCATCGCGCGGCGCTGCCAGCCTCCGAGGTCAGGCGGGTTCCCGAAGCCCCGCCCCCCACGAGCTCCCATTGGTGTGCGGGCCGTGCGCTCACTTCTGATTGGCCGTCGACTTGGAGCAACTTCTCGGAATCGTGGCTGTGTCACCAGCGCGAGCGCTAAAAGGCGCAGGCGGTGCCGCCCCGGGAGGGAGGGGGCGGCCCAATACCAGCTCCGCACCCCGCCGGGGCCGGGTCCTTTAAGACCCCCCCCCCTCCCCGCCGCCTCCTCACCCCCTGGAAAATGCCAACTCACAGCACGCGGGGCATGCCGGGAGCGCCGCGCCGCACTACACATCCCGGCATGCCGCGCGGCGGGGAGGGGCTGTCGGTTCCCTAGGCAACCGCAGGCCAGCGCCCAGTGGAGTGGGCGGGGCGGACTGCCGATTCTCTCTCCTTATTGGCTGAGTGTCGGATTAAACGCCTTGCCTATTGGCAGGGATAGTGGAGGAGGTGGGAGCGGTGTGCCGGGCGGTGATTGGTTAAGGGCGGGGCCGGTGGGTGGCTGCGTCATGACTCCGCCAGCTGATCCGAGACGGGAGCCGGCGGCGGCGGTGCGGTGCTGTGCGGTGGGGGGAGCGGCGGGGCCGGGCTGGGCCGGGCCGCTGTGTGCCGGTACCGGGCTGGGCCGCTCCGCACAGGTGGGTCCAGCGGCACCGCGGGGAGCGCTGTACGGAGCCGGGGCATGATAGGCTTTCTGTGCCCCGTTCTGTTCCCTAGGAAAGGTCACCTTTGCCCGGGGTGCAGCGTGGGGGTTCGATGGGGTTCGGTTCTATGTAGGGCTGTGCGGGTGCCGTCCCCACGTCGGTGCGGGGGGGCGCGGTTATCTCTGCGGGGGGTCCCGGTAGGGCGGGCGGGGCTGTGGTCGGGGCCGCCCCGCGCCGGGCGGTGGCCGCCCCCGGGGGTGACCTTCAGTCCGGGTTCGGGCGGGGCAGACTTTGACCCGGGGCCGCTCCTCGGGCGGACACCGAGCGGAGCATCCCGGGGGGCAGAGGGGACCGTGGGGTTCCCGGGGGAGGGGAGGGGAGGGGAGGTGAGGAGGGAACCGGGTTCCCCGTAGGGCGGGTGGCAAAGCTGTCCTGGCTGCGGGGATTGTCTTCACTGGGCTTGGGTGGCCCGGTGAAATCGGAGCTGGGCACCCGCTGGGGGTACGGTGGGGATTACAGATGGGGCGAACCCTGCTGAGCCCCCTCCTGGGCTGGGAGTTTCCTCCCGTTACCGGCAGAGCCTCCCCCTCCGGTGCCGGCGGGGCCCCTCCCGGGTGCTGATTCACGGCCCAGCGGGGGTGGAGCAGGGCCGGGACCGGCGCTGGAATCCGGACCAGATGTACCCGGCACGCCAGGAATGCGCGGCATCCCCGCGGCCCCGCCGCCCCCACCCGGGACACCCCGACCCCGTGGGGAACCCCGGGACGTTTTTTGGGGGGGTACATTGGTGGGAGGATGCTGGGGGGTGTTCCCCGTGTGCTGCCCCCCATTTAAGCCCGGTTATCCTCAAACTGGGGCTGACTGCCCTCCTGTTGCTTAGGGGATTCCCAGAGCTTGCCCTATAGTTCAGACAAAGTGAGGGGAAAAAAGGGATTTTCCCGTTTGGAAGAGAGAAGAATTGGGGCCCAACGCACCCCCTGGGTGACTCCGAAGTTCCCCATGTTCCCCCGGTGCTCCTTTGGCACCAAATCTCTCCCTTGGCTGAATGCTGCTGGCCTCTGGCCTGGTGGGACCCTGCCAGCACGGTGCTGGAGGTGAGAGCCTGGGAAACACCATACCCACCCCATCCTCCCCGCAGAACCTCACAGCCCCATCTCTGTGGCAGCCTCTATGATCCGGGCTTCTTATCTGGTGTTTTCCAGCTGGAACGGCCTTGGTTCCCTGTGTGGTAAAGGGGATTGCTCTGTGGCACCTGGCTGTGGGGAAGGGAGGGATGGAGCTGCCCCCGCGTTCCCTGGGCTGTTGTACCCCCATGGGATGTCAGCCCTGGCTTTGGAGGGCACTGGGAGGGTACATTTGGTGCAGGCAGTGCTGTGTGCTGGCTCTGATGTGTTGTTTCCTCCACAGCTGCTGCTCCTCTGCCTGCTCCTGGCTGCCCGGCAGCAGTTCTTCAGTGGCAAGCTTTATGTCCTTCTCTAGTAGCTAAAGCTGCCAGTTGAAGAACTGTTGAATGTAGCCACGCTCATCGCTGCGACGTCGGATGTCAGCTGCAGCTGTGTCCTGAGCCACCGGGATGAGTGAGCCAACAGCATCCCATGGAGGCACCCCGAGGGAGCTGAGGATGAGCCCGGTGGGGATGAGGAGCCTCCGGGCAAAGCCAGGGCTATAAAACAGGGAATGGGGTCCCACCCCATGGTGGGATGGCATTGAATTGAGACGGCCAGAGACATTAAACTTTGTGTTTTCCTGAACCACTCACTCGTTGCCTGTGGGGTGGGAGGATGGTGGTGACTTTGGACTGTGGGGTGGCAGGGAGGGGTGGCAGCTCTGTCCCACAGGGGTCAGTGGGCAGAGGGTTGTTTTTTGGGTCCGTCTCAGTTACAGCAGGGCTGATCTGTGCTGTTACAGGGATTGGCAGTGCAAAGAGCTGGGTGGTGGGATGGGGCTGCCTGGGTGGGATGGGCTGTGGAGCTGCTGACTCAGGGCCGAGTCATGCACAGCCCAGGGAATGGCTGCCCTGTTCTATGGCCTGTGCTGGGGCAGTGCCAGGGCTTCAGGTATGCTGGGTGTGCTATGCCTTCCCTGCTTGAGCAGCTGATGGTGGCACCAGGAGGGGTTTGGGTAAAGCCTTCAGGAATCCAAGATAATGGGGTAAAACATCTGTGTGTGAACCCAGCAAGGAGAGCAGGAGCCTCGTGCTGGAGGCTGCACAGTTCAGGTTCAATTTCCCTGTTTGGGTGTAAGGCTGCTGGATTTCTGCACCTGGTGATGTGCAGAAAGCAGTTTGGTGTCCCTTAACTGGCAGAAGTGGGGTGAATCTGTTGCACAACGTCCTTCATTCTGATAAGAACTTGGCGTGCATCTGCTGATGGCTGCAGGAAGTGGAGTTCTTTGGGGGGGGAGGGGGGGGAGGTTACTGCTGCCTACTGCAAGGAACAGGGCTACTGAGCCCCCCCTGGACCAACTCCTGCTCAGTGCTGAATGATGGAGGAACGCCTCTGGCTGTAGGCAGCACTGTGCTCTCCCAGCCCAGATGCAGAACGGCGAGTTCCTACAGAATCAGAGGAAAATGAGGGGCACAAAGCAGTTGCAGTGAGCGCATGGGGTGGGAGGATGAGCAGCTCCCAGGCATGGCTGTGCCAGAGCTGTTGGTGTGTGGTATGGAGGAGCTGTGTGCTCCTGCCACTGCGTCTCTGCCCTTCTGCGTGTCAGCACGTGGGGAGTGCTTAGGGTCACTGTTCCTCCTGTTGCTGTGATGTGCTCCCCTTGGGTAAGTTGGGGCAGTTTCAAGGTTGAGAATTGCACTGCACGGCAGCACTGAACCCACAGAATTCGGGGATTCCGTTCTAGCTTCATATGTGAGAAGGTGCTGGGGTGCAACTTCGAGTGTTTCACACAAAAACGGTGCAATGTTTTCTCACCTGCTGAGCAAACAGGCTCAGCTCTGCACTGAGCATAAAAGCAGAGGGATTGAGGCTGACACAGTGTCCCTGTGGGAACTTGCCTGACACTCAGAGCTTACCCTTCCTCCTGTGAAGTGCCATGTGACCGGTGAGTAAGTGCAGTGCTTCCTGTAGAGTGCACAGCCTCACTTGCTGCTGCCTTGCAAAACCATGCAACTCTTTCCTCCAGCACTGAGGCTGCGTTTCCTGCAGCATCCGCCCTCCTCCTTGAAGCAGCCAGCACTGGGGATGCTGTGCTGCATGCAGCTGGGCTGGGGTTGCTGGATTGGGAAGCAGTCGCTGCAGCAGCTAATGCAATATTCACAACAGCTGTAGCAATGCCAGCAGGTGCTGCTCGCTCAAAGGTCGGCTCGCAGCCTTCTGTCCTTAGGGGTGAGTTATTTGGCATCAGCTCTTGCACACAGACTGTCTTGTTCCCAGCAGTGAGAGCAGCTTGCCTCACTCAGAGTTCCCCTCGCTGGGAAAATGTACTTCTGCAAAGCAGAAGGTCAGTGTGACCGGGGGTGTGCTGAATGAATGCTCCCTGCCAGCAGTGAGCTGGAGGTGGTGGATGGAGGAGGTGGACTGGGGGCCTTGTGTGATCTCCTCTTGCCCAGCCCAGCAGGTCCCTGGTTAGGAAAAAGCACACCTGTTTTGCCCCGGAGTGCAAAGAGCAGCCAAGGGCTGTGCAAACACAAAATGCATGTGCTCAATCCAGCTTTGCTTCCACTTTATTTCTCTCGCAACAAGTTGAGCTTTAATTCCTGGTTGATGCTGTGCTCCCCGTGGCAGTGTACGGATGAAGCTTAGCTTGCTGTCACAAGGGTATGTTGTTGATATCGTAGGCCCTGCAACAAGAGGGGCACTGGGGAACTGCAGGAGCTCAGCACTGTGCTTATGGGCTCTGTGTTTGCAGGGGAAGGCAACACCCTGCTGCTCAGGGCATCACTTACTCTGCTTCTTCTTTAGATATTTTTTTCCCCAAGTATAAAACTTCAGCAATCAGAGACACTATGGGGTCACAGTTTAGGCTGGCAGCTGCTGTCACAAAGCCATCCCTGGAAGAGAAAGAAGGATGCAGAGCTCCTTGGTGCATGTGACATAGCATAGCAGCATCCTCCTGCAGACAGCGGGCTGACTCCTCATGGGGCACCATGAGGTATGGGAGCAGTGGGGCAGGGGGAATGGGGGTGGGTGCCGGGGTCCCTGCATTGTTACACCGTAGTGCAGCTCCACTCACTTAAGGTAGAAGATGAGGAACTTCTGTTGCTCCAAGCTGCCCTTCAGAACGGTGTCTGTGTAGCCCTTACCGCAGCCTGCAGAAGATGGTCGTGGGGTCAGGAAGCTCTGGTACAGCAGTGCCACCCACCCCACCTCAATGGCACCTGGAGTGCAGGAAGAAGGAGAGGGGATGTGACTCTGCATGGGGCTGGGAGCAGGCAGAGAGACTCTGGCTGAGCAGAGCTGACCCAGAGGAGCAGGACTGCACGTGGTCCCACATTCCTCCTTGGCTTGGAGAGGGACAATTGTGCCCTTTCATTCCTCTCTCTCTGCCCCATCCTACCTGCATAGTGGATACTTCTCCCAAGCATCGTGGTCCAGAAGAAGGGGACGGTGTGCAACTCCTTCTGTTTCTTCAACATGTTAAAGGCAGCGATGGAACCTGTGGCAATGGACCATCAGTGGGAACATTTTTGTTTCCTGGAGGTCCTGAAATGGCTGCTGATTGTCTGAGGGGAGCTGGGAAGCACTGCCTCACCATGGGCCTCGGCCACCTGTTGGTGATGGATGCTGGAGTGGTTCCCATTGAGCAGCGCTACGGGAAAGGAGACAACATCCCCCCCAGCAAAGACGTTTGGGATGTTGGTTTGCATGTGCTAATGGGACAAAAAGCCATTAATGCAACAGTGAAAAGGAAAGGACTCAGAATTAGCTGTGGGTACTCAGCTGGCACGCACCAGGTCCACCAGGATGGCACCACTTTTGTCTTTGGCAATGGAGGTGCCCTTCAGAAATGAAGAGTTGGGGGTCACCCCTGCAAGGAAAGGAGTAAGGACAAATGCAGCAAGGCTCTGTGAAGGCAGGGAGTAATTTTGGCCCTGAAGTGAACGTGTGGCCTTGGTACTTCTCAGCCTGCCTGGACCAGGGCAGCCTACAGCAGTGACCAGGGCTGGTGCTGAGCTAACCCAGCGACAATAAAACCAGGACCCAGAACAAGGCGTGCTCTGATAACACAGCAGTGACCTACAGAGCTCAGCAAGCGTGCCAAAGTCATATCAAGGCTGTAAGTCATTCCTTTCCTCATGCCTATTGCTCATAAGCCCCTCAAGTGGGTGGGACCAAAAGCAAGGACTGGGTAATGAGAACGGACTGAGATGCTCTCCCCATTTCCAGAGCTGCCTCCCTCTCCAGCTGGGCTCACTTTACCTATTCCCACCACCACCACATCCGCAGGTAGTTTTTCTCCACTGGCAAGAATGGCTTCTGTGACCTGGGGAAGAAGCAAGGATCATTAACAAAGGGCTAAAAACTCTGTTCTCATCCCTGTAGCCTCTCCGCTGCCTTATTCTTTGCTCTCTATTGTCTTTCTCAGGCTGAGATGACCTTGTCCAGCTAATGTGTGTTGCTGGGAACGTAAGAGAAAATCAAGGAAAGCAGCATGCTGTTGCCCTCTGAGCTCAGAGCTGTGCTCTGTGCAAGGAAACATGAGGGTCTAGACATGGGAGGAGCTAGCCTAGGCATAGGCACTGGGATACACCTCAATTTGAGGGGGGTGTCCCCTAAAAATAGAAGTTCAGAAACCTCAGTGGCATGACTGACCTTTCCATCCTTCCCTTTCAGCTCATGGAGTTCTTTTTTCATGTAAAACTTGACTCCCTTACTTTGCAGCATCTGAAAAAGGAAGAGGAAGCTGCTTTGAGTGTTCACTAGGAAATTCCAAGCTCGTAAAAACAGCAGCAGCATCCAGCCAGAACGCAGGCAGAGAGCTCAGCTGCTGCTCCGTGCTGCAGGAAGGTTTTATTTGCAGGGTGCACTGGGAGTCTGCCTCTGCTCTGCCATCCCAGTTAGCACCAGCATGAGATGGGGCTTAGGGAGGGATTGAGCTAGGAAGTGTAATGTGTGCATGAGGGAAGCTGGGGGTTTACATGTGAGCTCTGAGCAAGGTGGCCAGGCACTACCAGGCTGCAGTTCCTGGGTGGTGGTGGATAGCAGGGCTGTTTGGATAGCACTGGGTTTTCCTAACCTTCAAGACAACGCCTCCAACCTGAGGACCCAGCGTCTTCTGGAAAGGGAACTCATGTTTTTCCACCACCGAGATGACAGCAGCCTTGTCTGAGAGGAAGGCAGCTGCCTCCATTCCTGCAAGTGAATGGCATGTTCCAGGTAAGTCTGCTGCAAGTAGGAACCTGCACCCTCCTCCTGGGGAATCTTTACCCCTTCCAGACAAGAACAGATCTGATGGATTGCCAATGCTTAACTGCTTTTCTTTGCATTTATGGGCTGTTATATTTCACTTTGTTCTTGTGCACTATGGACCCAGTTATTAGGAAATACAAAGAGCAGCTCCTAGCTGCATAGCTCCCTTCTGTACCTTACCCCCTTGCTTCTGGACAGTCCAGCTCCTCTGACAGACCTTTTCACAAGGCACATTTCCCTCTGCCCTGGTCCAGGAACTGTATATGGCTCAAAGTTTCTGGCCATCAAGAGAAAGGTTCTGCTGTTTAACTCATAAAGCTCCAGGTACAGAACTCCGGTGTGGGACCAAGACAGGCAGTGGATGACTCCCTTCCCTGAGGACCTTTAATTTAAAAGCTCACACAGCAGAAGTGCATTTCAAGGCCCAATTTTCAAGACCTAATAGCCCCTCCAGCATGGTACCTACGAATGAAGCTCCTACAATCACAAGATTCTTCCCAGTTGCCAGCTCTAAGACCTTGCTAGAATCCTCTGGGGTTTGAAGATGACACACGTTCTGCAGGTCTGCACCTGGGACTTCGAGGAAGCTGGAGCTGAGAGAGAGAGAGAACCAAGGTATGGCTTATGATTGTAAATAAAACAGGGATGATAAGAAAGGAGCACACAACCCCGTGCAGCCTCTTGGCCTTTTGATCCCATCATTTTCTATCATTTCCTACTGCCTCCCTTTTGCGTGTTTCTAGAAGAGCTCCAATCCCCACAAATGAACCATTTTGTCCCATCAGAAAAGGTGCATGTGACAAATGCTTTGTGCACTCACTGTCCACCTGTTGCAATGAGCAGCTGGTTGTACTTCTGAGAGGATCCGTCCATGAAGCAAACCTTCTGCTTCTGGAAATCCACTGACGCTGCCTGCAGGAGAGAGGAGGTGAAGATCAAGGAGGCATTTTTCTGGGCCACTTCTGTCCTGTCACATCAATTCTCCTCCTCATGGCAGGAAGAGAACCATCCACTGAGGACTGATCTCAGCTGCTTTTGCACCTCTTTCTCTGTCCAGAGCTCTATGCCATGAGCGCACAGGAATTCAGGCTTCCTCAGGTAGATGTCCTCAGCTTTTAAATTCATTTCCTGGAAGCAAAGCAGAAGTATGAAATAAAGCAGTTCTTACAGTCAGCAGTGCTCTTGCAGTTTACTGGGAAGTAGGTTTGCATTAGAAGCAAATCCTGCACTAGCACATCATGGCTACTCACACTGTCCCATCCCCATCACTTCCATGCTCCTCCTCAAAGTGGGAAGAACTCAGCCAGAGGATAAAGCCATTTGCTAATGGTGTACTCTGATCAAGAGGAAGTGAGACACTAGCTGGAAATGACACCCATTTTTCTTGCCTGATAGCTGCCTTGCCAGAATGGATCACCTGATCACTCAACCTGGTTCTGAGCATGGGCTGTGCCCCTAATTCACACACATTACCCAGGCACAGTCCTTTCTCACCGACAAACCTTGCTCAGTTTGGACTTGTCATACGGAGCATGTTTCTCTTTGGTGGCCATGATGATCCTGCCAGTAAAGCCCTCTTGGCGAAGTGTCTCTGCACAGGTCAGGGCAGCCACACCTATGAGAGATGCTCATCTCAGCCTTGTTATGCATCACCGCAGAGTGGGAGGCAGAAGATGAGTCCTCCTTGGGGATGAGATTGGCAGCTCACAGTGTCTGTAGTGAGGATGTGGTACAGACCACTTCACTGACCTCCCCCCAGGAGAAGCATGGTGTTCCGGTTGAGAAGGCATCGTTTGCTCATGTCCTTCACCCTCAGGCTGCTTTCAAGATCCTAGAATAAAGTGAGAGATGATTAAATTGTACCCAGCCCATGGTGCTGATGGTGCTTACTGGCAACAGGTATGGTCAGTACCTTCTTTTTAGCTGTTACAAACACCTTTCCATCTTCCACTGTTACCTGGAGGGGGGGAAGAAGAGTACATTTATGCGCTGTGCTTATGGGGTGGTGATAAGAGCTCTCGTGGGAGAGTCTGTTCAGATGGTGTGTTAAGAGCTTGTGCAGAACAAGTCTGGGGGTCCTGGTGACAGCGAGCTGTCTGGAAATTTGGGGTCTGTTTGGAAAAGGATGTAGGATGCAAGGGTGGAAAACTGCAGAAAGATAATGGAGCCCAGCTCTAAGGAGAGAGGATCAGCATCAATAGGAACTCATGGTCCTGATTTGTTGAGCTGTTGGAGGACAGCAAACTCTGACGCATCAAGAGTGGCACATAGGGTTCTTAAATGTCAAGTGAGTGCCTGTTGGTGCTGGGGAGCTTATGAGCTTTTCTGGCTGTGAGGGATATCGGGATGTGTTGATTGAAAGGTTCTATAGGATGCCTGAAGTCATTCCATGTGTAGCTCTGTGAGACCAGCACTGTGGCCAGGGCATGGCCTTTTCAATCGCCATGCTTGTAGGCAGTGGGTAGCAGAGGGGACACGGACCAAGCAGGGGGGAAGAGACCAGATATCACCTTAAAGCAAGGCAGGCAGTCCAGAGAAGGGTACTCCTCAATATCTCCAGTTCGGATGTTGAAGCAGGAGCCGTGCCAGGGGCAGCGCAGCCTGTGCCCTCTCAAGACCCCTGCAATAGAACCCACCCCCCCCCAGCCAGTTGGTGAGAGCTTCCTCCCCAGTATGGCTTCTCCCCACTGCCCCCCATAAGCACTACCTTTGCTGAGCGGCGCGCCGTAGTGTGGGCACCTACTGCCCAGGGCGCTGAACTCCATCTTGTTCCTCACCAGCAGCACCGGGTAGCCAGCCACCATCACTTCACAGAGTCTGGGCACGGCAGGGAGCGGGGATCAGCCCCTCACAGCCATGGCGATGCTCCCTCCACCAACAAGATGGCGGCAGCCAACATGGCGGCGGTTGCCATGGCAGCGCTGGCCCTGCGGCCTGCATGGCTCACGGTGGTGGGCTCTCCGTGGGCTACTCACTCTCCATCCCCAATGTCGTCCTCCTTGCAGACCTCTGCAGTGACGATGTCATTGCAATCCATGTTGATGGACACAGTGAAGGGTCGGCCTCTGTGCCTCTGAGATGCCACCCCAAAATGTGCAGCCAGTGCCTCTCAGAGGGTTCCACGCTCAGCTGAAATAAAAAGGCTATGATCAGCAGAAAGTACACATTTTCCCTATTTTATTTCATTTTTTGGTCTCCCAACCCATCCATTCAGCCATTCTTTCTCTGATTTCACCCAGCTCTTGTTTGCATATGGCAAACCATTGAACTCAGATCGTATTGTGTGTAAGCAAGGAGGGCTTCCAGCAGTTGTGCCAGAAATCAGTAAAATGATTTGAAATTATTTATGGCCACCCTGGGCATGATGCTGTCAACAAGGCTTGGGGTCTGCACCTCCAAAATCCCTCCTGTGCTGGTGATGAGGTGGTACTGGAGTAAGTAAAGAAGGAATTAGGATAATAATCGTAATGAAAAGTAGCAATCCCTGCCTGAAGTGGATGAAGAAGGAGCAACAAATCTTGGTTCTTGCTGTTGCACGGCCCCTCGGCTGTTTGCTGTGTGTTTGGAGATTTTCCACTCTGTTTTGGAGGAAAAAAAATGGAGATAGAAGGGCTGCTCGTGGCGTTCCCATGGGCAAGCGGATGGCAGACAGCAGCAACTTCACCACCAGCCCCAACACCTCAGGAAATTCCCCCATCACCACCCCTCATCCCAGGGAAAAGCTCTGACAGATACTCACAGCCTCGTCGGGAGCTGCCACCATCCATGTAGCTCTTTCCCGTCCGTGTGTCTGTCCCCAAAGCCAGCTCCCCCATCCCACGCTGGGCGATGCTCTCGTGGCCGTGCCCACCACCCCCGGCCGATGGGCGGCAGCGGGGACGCGGCGTATCTGATTACTGCAATCACTCCACCACTTCATTCCTTTTTATTTATTGTTTTTTTTTTTTTTTTCCTTCCTAATTCAGGTTTAGAAACTGCTCGCCGAGGAATTAAGGGCACTTAGGGCTGATGGGGCAGGTGTGGTCTGAGGGCTGTGCCGCTTCGGAAACAAACTGAGTCAACGCTGAGAAACTCCTCCTGTTTCTCAGTGGGAAGAGCCGTCCCTTGGTGCCTGCAGGTTTTGCTGCACTTTGCTCTGCTCCTGTGTGAGAGTGTGCTGGTTTCTGGGCGTCCCAGCACCGCTGTGTCCACGCTGTGTGTGTGTTGCACAGTGTTGGGTGCTGCTGATGGCGCTATTTTTTGCAGCCGGGTGGGAGCTGTGAAAAAAATGGGAGTGACGCCTCCGCAGTTTGCGTCTCCTCCAGTTCTTATCTCTATTTCACAGTCAAGATGTTTCAAAACCTTTAAATATGCCTCGAAACGCAGAGTGGGGACTAATCCCCGGCTCTGTCATCATCCCCATCACAGGCAGCAGCATCCTGCCATGCAACGTGCTCCCAAACCCAGCGCAGGGGGGCTGAAAATCCTCCTGGAGATGGGCACAACCCTGAGAAGAGGATGTGCACGTGGATGCTCAGTAAGTGCACAACTGCACCCAGCAAAGTGCTCTGCTCTGTTGGGCCCACAGAGCAATAAGGACACTGGGTGCTGCGATGCCAGGAGCGCTCCCAGCCCATGGGTGCTGCACACCCACGATGAGTGCAGGTGCAGAGTGTTTTCTCGCAGTGCCAAAAAGCTGCTTTTGGACTCTGCCTTGCTGGCCAGGCGCCTGAGCGTGAAGCAATTTGGCTGCCAAACGGCCCTGTTTAAACTCCCTGTAATTATTCCCCGGGAGCGCATTCCCACGTGGAGAAGCGGCAGCGGCCCTCACAGAGGCATTCTCTGACTCAGCAGAAACGGCTGGGAAGTGTTTGCTTCGGGATGGGAGCTGCAGTGTGCAAAGGTACAGGGGTGAGAGCCAGGTGGGACACAGTGCTGCCTGGTGGCATTGACCCAGTGGGGCTGAGAGGCTGCTGGATGCAACCCAACAGCCTGGCAAAGGACTCGAAAAGCAAAGCAGAATCCCCACCTCCGCTGGTGCAAAGGTGGTGGTGAAAGGATCTCGTCCCGCTCTGAAGGCTGGGAAGGGCACTGAGCATAAAGGTTTGGGGTTGTTGTAGGATGCAGCTCTGACAGCTCACGCCTAGGAACATGCAATACATCCCTGGGGGACTCAGGGAATAAGATGTTATGCCATATTGGTAAGGTGTTCTGTAAGCATCTTTTGGCTCTTTGTTAGGCCTGTCCTCCCTTTGAGCCCCTGCTGCACGCTCTGGCATGCCATAATGCAGCTGTGGCTGTGCAGATGTGTTCTCACCCCCATCGTGCTCACATTGGCCCTTCCTTGCAGCACACAGGGCTGAACACCTCCGAAGAACGGAGCGCAAGCGAGGTGGGGAGGCAGCAGAGCTAAAATGATTAATGGGACACTGTGCTCAGAGCAGCTTGGTTTGTGATATTAATAATGAGAGAATTCAGGAGGGAACATACCCCGTGCCCAGCTGTGCAGCCGGCAGCAGCAGGAGCTGTGAAGTTCTATTTGCAATGCAGGAGTGATTGAGTGGGCTCTGCAACGTGTGATGTGCAAGGAGGGAGTGCTTGCACCTCGCAGGGCTCATTCTGAACCTGTCTGAACTGCAAAAAAAATAAAAAAAAAACCACCAAAAACATAGGTTCATAAATACCCATAACAATGTCACCAGAAAGCACATCAATATCTGTCAGATATGGCTTCAGGTATGGCTTAAGCTTGAAAATTGTAAACTGGGTGTGGAAAGCATGTTTAGCTTACAGGGGGAGAAGCATGAAAAAGGAAGTATTTAGTAGGAATTGATTTGCTCATAGAGTAGAAATCATTATCTGTGCTGCTTCTTGTATTCTTCCTGAGCATTCAGGTCTGGTAGGGCAATAACTGGGCTTTACCACTCACCATCAGGTAGAAAGGGAGGGATGAGTGGTGGATGCAGAGCTTTCCTGCATCATTTGACTTCCTATGAGCCAGCAGAGCAGTGACACACTTTGGAAAGGAAAGAAGATGACAACTAACTATAATCTGCAAGCCGAGAGAAGCAGACAGGCTTTACACCTCTCTGGCTGGAGAAGAACAGATGAAGGGAGCAAAGCTTCCCAATAACGGGAGCAGGGCTTTGGCCAGAGGGACCTGGGGTGTCAGGAGCTGCTGCTGTGAAGTCCCTGCTGTGGGACGAGCTGTGTCCCCACAGCGTTAAGGGATGGCCGAGTCCCCCAGGGAGTCCCTGCCCTGCTGGGAGCGGTGCGGTGTGAGCTGACCCGGCGCAGAATGAGGCTTTCAAAGGAACTGATGGAAAACTTCGCTAAATCTGGGTGAAAAAAAGGCCATATCTCCAAATAAGGTGCGGATGGATTGCTGAGAGCTTTCGGAGCGCGTCGCCCCGAGCGGCTGTTCCGCGGGTGTGCGGGGACCTCTGGCGGCAGCGCCTGTCCCTGCCCGAGCCCGGTGCGGGGCACTGAGGGCGATTTGGGCTCCGATCCGGCATCAGAGGATTGTTTGCAACCGGACTTGGGAACTTCTGTCAATCAAACCATCTCTGGTTAATGGCACAGCTGCAGAAAGAGGGAGAAAAGCATTATCAAGGCTGAAAACAGGGGATTTGTAGGAAATCCCACGGCAAGTCTTTGGAAAATCAAGGAAAACCTAAAAAGCTAAAAGTAGCTGAAAGATAGAATGCGTGTGGCTGCTGGTGGTGCTCCAGCAGTGGGATCAGAGCCCCGGAACCAGAGATGCTATTATCAGAGCTTAAATTCCTTCCACGAGGAAGTGGCCATGAGAGCCCTCCAGCGCCTGGAGACACGCTCACTATTCCTGAACGGGGCCAAAGTGTTTCATAACCCAGAGAACAAAGCAGCACGTGGGGCGGCGTCACAGCCAGGACAGGCAGTGCCAGACCCACAGCGTTTCAGGGGCAGGGGCACTGCAGGGTCAGAGTTTCCCCTTGGAAACAGACAGCGTTTCTGAGGCTAAAACACTGTCAGTAAATGATTTTCCTACTCTTTACCCCGGGCAGCCCAGTGGGTGTGCAGCTCCATCTGGACGCAGGCAATGCACCCATCCCTCTGCATCCCTTAATGCTAAGCAGAATGAGCTCTGTGCTTGGCTTTCCCACTGCTGATTAGCCTGTGTGACCCCTCTGCCCTAATGCATGAGGTTATATATAACCTCCTGTGGATTATTCCAAGCAGTGTCTCCCTGTCCACTCAACTGTGATAAAATTCCTTTGTCTTTCTGGCTTTTAAGCAAATTCCTGCAGCACGAGATGCTTTCCTGACAGCAGGGACTATCTCACCCCTTTCCCTTGACACTGATTTATTCCCTCTGCAACATCTTTCCCATCAGCCCGTCACTTGTTGCAGTTTCAGTGCCCGTTGCCCCAGACAGAGCAGTGACAGTGAGCTCAGACTCCACACTTTTTGTACTTAAGCAAAAAGAACAGATGATCTCCTCTCAGATTAATACCTCAAAGGAGAGGCAGCCCCTGACATCACCCGGTGTGCATGCAGTGATTCATCTGAATAAGGTCTGCGTGGCATCCTCGCTCCTGGCGGAGACGTCAAAAAGCAACAAGAGATCATCAGATCACGAGCAGCAGGAAAAGCAGTGCCATGGTGGGATGGAGCTGAGGAAAGTGTGAGTATGTGACCCTGAATTTCTACACGGAGCAGATCTGGAGTGCCTCAAGAGCAGGGAGCTGCTTGTGGGATGGGATGTAGGACAAAGGGATGGAGTGCAGCAGTGTGGTGGATGCAGCATTCGTATTTCTTTTTTTTGCAGAGGAACTGGAGCTTTTTGGTCAATAAACCCACAGTGAGATGTGGTGTTTGCATAGAGTCTGTGCCCATGGTGAGGGATGGGACAGTGGGGCAAACACCAGGAATACTTCGGGGTGAAGCATCACTGCATTGGGGGTGGATGTTGTGGAGTCCCCTGGTGTCATTGGGGTGCAGGAGGAAGGAAGGTGGAGGCAGGATGAGGAAGGTGTCCCTATCTCCCAGCCTCCCCCTCTCCAGATGTTCCTGTCTCCAGATATCCCCATCTCCAGGCGTACTCATCACCCGCTGTCCCCATCCCAGCGTCCCCATCTCCAAATGTCCCCACCTCCCTGTGTCCCCAGTTCTGGTGCCGCGATCCCCAGCCCCTCTCTTCACTTTCACTCTCGCATTTCCCTCTACTCACTTCCGGACCGGGACACGGCGATACCCGGTAACGGGGCGAGGCGATGCGATGCCTGGGGCGGTGCCGGTGCCCGGGGCGGAGGCTACGGGGCAAGGCGGAGCCGTCGTTCAGCGCATTCGGTGCCCCCCATGGGAGACAACGGATGCCCATGGCTCTGGGGCCGGACTTGCTGCTGGTCGCCGGTTCTTTCGCCGCTTTCCGCTTGTTGAACCGCGGGGTGGAGCGGCTGATGCCCCCGCCGCCCTCGGCTCGGCGGAACCGCTGGAAGTGGCGGAACATCTGGACGTCGCTGGCACACAGCGTGCTGAGCGGCGGCGGGGCGCTGGCGGGGTGAGCAGTCGGGATCTGACAGAGAGGGACCGCGATGGGAACGTAGGGCCGAGGGGACAACGAGGGAGGTTGTGCGTATGGGGAAGGGGAAAGGGCATCGGGAGGGCTTTGGGGGAGGGGGAGGGACGGGGTGGATGGAGCCCTAGGAGGTGTTGGGGAAGGATGGATGGGATCCTAGGGACTAATGGGGATGGGGTGGATGGGACTCTAGGGAGTAATGGGGATAGGGTGGATGGGGTGGTGCTGGGGAGAAGATCCTAGAGGGAAATGGGATGGGTGGATGGAACCCTAGGAGGGTGTTGCAGAAGGGATGGATGTGGAGATGGGGAGGTAATCTGGGGTACAGAGTGATGGAGGAGCAAATGAGGGGTACAAGGGGATGCTGGGGTAGCAGGCGATAGGAAGACTTGTGGGGAACAGAAGGATAACATGGCTATGGGGGGAGGCAAAGGGGAAAGAAGGGTTCTAGGGTGTCAGCAGTGCCCACAGCACTTCCACAGCAGAGTGGAAGGAAGCCTGGAGCGCTTCCTCAAGGGAAGGGAGCCAAAGGCACTGCCTGGCACTCACAGCCCATCTCCCCACAGGTTCTGTCTCTACCCTGGGCTGCACGAGGATCTGGTGGGCACACACCCACCCGGGGCACACAGCCTGGTGGCCATGTCTGTAGGTGAGATGGGGGAACGTGGTTCCGGGGGTCCCTGTTGGTGCCTAAATGCCAGCCCCCCACCCACGTCCCGGGCAGCGACGTCTCAGGCACCACAGACAATTGCCTTATTCTTGGCAAGGACAGAGGCTCCTTTTTGTGCCCACACATCCAGAGCTGGGAGGTACTGAGCTGCCCATCACCGTCCTCATCGGGCAGCCAGGGCTTGGAGCATCCCAAAATTGTCTGTGATGTGTGATCGATGTGGCTTCCCTGCAAATCCATGTGCTGAACTTGCTAGGAGTCCCATGGCCATCCCTCTCTTTGTAACCTTGTTGTGTTTCTGTCACCAGCCATGTGGTCATTGCTAGCAAGATCCCCACCACCACTTTGGCTCAGCAAGGAGGTTTAAGTGCATGAAATGCTGATGTGGGGTTGTTCTAGTGGCAGTAAACTCTCCATGCTGCAAGGAATTGGGATCCAACCCTAGGGTACTAACACGAGTGAGGGTACAAGTGCTGCCCTACAGACCTGCCTGGCCACCCCCTTCCTTGCTTATAGCCTCTCCATTCCCAGGTTATTTCCTAGAAGACTTTGTGGACATGCTATGCAATCAGAAACTCCACCAGTCCTGGGAGCTGCTCTTCCATCACTCCGTGGTGAGTCTGCTGGGTGAGAGTGGGTCTGGGGAATGCCCAGGGAGATGGTAAAGTAAGAACAGACAGATCCATTACCTTAATTTTCCAGCAGGCTGCAGGGGGCACAGGATTCTGCAGGGCCCAGGGAGGGAAAACAGGAGAGCTGGTGGTGGGACGCAGCTGGGGGAGGTGATTTTCAGCCCTGCAACTCTGCAACCCATGAGTCAAAAGGTCATCCACACAATAGAGCTAATTCAGGCTGAGACAGTGATTTAGCAAGCAGATAATCTCATTATAGAACCAATACACAGAACAGCATTAATGGTATAAACTGAAGAAAAGTCTGAGTGGTGTAAGGCACAGGCAGGCAGAGCCTGTCCCCTGTCACCACAGGGAGGATGCAGGGCAAGAGTTGTACCCGCTCTGCCCCCACAGCTCCATCCTGAGGCATCCCAGAGCTTCCAGATGGGAGTTCACAAGGGCTGTCATGCAGCAAAGCCATTTAATCCTTGCAGTGTACCTGTCTCAGGGAGGATTTCTGAGCCAGCAGCAGCTCTAGCCCTGGGCTACACGTCTCCCTCCCTACCACAGTGTGCAGAAAAACCTGCTGGGCCACCATCCACTGCATGCCCCAGGCCATAATGGCAGGGTTAGGGCTGGCTGTTGGATTTCCTCTTTCAACCTGGAGTTTATAGAAGTGTTTTCCACTTGGCCTGCTGGAAAATAGCAACATTCTAAGGTTTTGTGCAATGGTGAGGAGACTTTATCTTGTTTATGGGGCTGCAGAGCTGTGTGAAGTGGTGACCAGTGACTTGGCTCCAACATGACAACTGTTTCCAGCTCTGCTTCACCACTGTGCCTGAGCATGAAGGGCTGCACAGCAAGCAGTGCCTGTGCTCAGCCTCTCTTCTTTCTCTTTCCCAGGTGATTGTCTGCTTTGGCATTGCAGTGCTGCTCCATCAGTACGTGGGTTTTGCCCTCGTGGCCTTACTGGTGGAGATCAACTCCATCTTCCTCCACCTACGCCAAATCCTGCTCATGGCCGACCTGGTGCACACCGCCTGCTACCGCCTCAACAGCATCATCAACCTGGGCACCTACGTGGTGTTCCGCATTGCCACGCTGGCCTGGATGACACATTGGCTGTTCCTCAACCGGCAGCATGTGCCCCTGGCCACATACACTGTGGGCACAGTTGGCATGGCAATCATGACCCCCATGAACATCATCCTCTTCTATCGCCTGCTACGTAGTGATTTCTTCAAGTCCAGCCGGGATACGCGCAGGGAGAAGGAGAAATAGCATGGAGCAGCTATGAGCTCATGGAGGAGGACAGCAAAGAGCTGGTGGGGAATAAGAATGGCTATTTCAGTGTTGCTTGGACTTAAGGTTGTGGATCCTGGGCAGAGAAGGTGCTGGTGGACCAGGCACTGGGGCTCTGCTCTCCAGCACCTTTGGATGATGTGGTCGAACAACCAGGAGCTGCTCAGAGAAGCTCTGAAGGCTCTAACAGCCCTGAGACACCACTGAGAAGGGAGCAGGGAGAAGAGCATTGTTTCCCCATTGCTTTTCTGGATATGCAAACACCACTGTGAGTTTCTAACCTCTTAGGTGCTGCACCCTGCAGGGTCCTATTGCCTAAGGGACTCTGTGCTACCTCCAGCACTTCCCATAGGAAAGCACCAGGCAAGAGAAGCTCCAAGGCTTTGCCCTTGAGGCCAGGGCTGGTAAAAGCCAAATCCTGCACCCATCCCTGATGAGATTGTGCCAGGTGAGAGATGAAGGCTTGGACTTGTCCTTGTCAGATGCTGCTGGCACTGGACTAGGGACAGTGGGAGCCATAATGCCATACTTGGGGACTGCTGCTAACTTCAGACAACTGGAGATATTCTAGTGTTGTTTTCTTCCCAGATCTATTAAGTCCCCATAAATGAGTGTGGGAATGCGTGAGCTGCAGACCAGGATGGTGTGTGATAGTTGTTTCCCGTGGATGAGATGTTTTCAGATGGGCCAGATATGGGCATCTATGAGGAACCAGAAGTCCTGCTGCAGAGCCTGGTGTAATGCTCTCAAGCAGCAGCAAGAGCTCTTACTAACACAGGCTTTCAATAAATAGCAAATGAAAGAGCTCAAGTGGAAGAGGCTTAGAGGGAAAGAAAAACTCTGCATCTCAGCTTGCTCCAGAGGTGTCACTGGCTTCCTGTCCTCCATCTCCTTGCTCTGGGATAAAAACACACCGTGTGCTGGCTCATGCCTGATGCAGTGTGCAGTAAAGCGGGGCACCTTCCTGGTGCAAGGAATTGGAAGGTTCGAATGCTGTTTCCCTTCACATTTCCCACTGATTCCCATACACAGAACCCTTCCCATCAGCCTAGCAGCATGTACGAGCCCACCTCACACAGGGCTGCATGTAGTTGCTTTGAAAAATCCACTAGATCTGTCATGCTCTCTGCACAGCAGGCAACTTTTTACCCCCAAACCACTCATTTGCTTTGGAAAGCTGTGGGAAGAGGCTGAAACTGCTCAGAGTGCCCCTGTCAGCAGTGTTGGCTGCCCACACCACGACTGCTGCTCAAGGCCTCGATTGTCACCACATTCCTGCTGCCATGCCAATGCCTCACACTGCGGGCCTGGTTGGGAGCCTGCAACGATGTCTCACAGCGGTGGCCTGGCAGCTCTGCACAGCCCGGTGCACGGGAACACACTGTGGGAATGCCCTGCGTGTCTCTCCTGAAAGAAACGGGCCAGCTTTGGGAGAGGAACCTTCCCCTCCTGTGGGGACAGAGGCAGAAGGACAAGGGATGGCCTCTCTCTCACAAGGGAATCCCAGGTACGAGGAGGGGGCTGCCCGAGGAAAACCCCAGACGGCCTCACGGCCTCGGGGCTGTTGGGCCCCATAGCTGGGGTCTGCAGCCCCCGGCTGTCCAATCAGAGCCGGCGTCGTGCTGTCACCGTTATCCCTCTCCACCAATCAAAATAGGCAGAGGGCGGGACTGCAAAGGAAGTAGCATTCAACCGGAAGTGTACTCTAGGCACAGCTTCCTTTCTTCTTCCACAGTTGATCCCGCCTCCTGCCCTTTCCGTACTCTGATAGGCTGTTCTCGCTGTCTGTCAGGCTGCCCGAAGGCTGATTGGGCGAGCCCTCTGGCTGCGCACACCGCCCACATCCGGGTCTCGCAGGCGCGGTGGCGGTGGATTGCGCCGCCATTGTTGTTGGGGAGTGCGGGACGTCGCAGCGGCCGGTGTGTGCGGGTGGGGCGGGCCTCAGGGACGTAGGAGGGTCCGGTGGGAGCCGCGATCCCGCTTTGATCCCGTTCTCCCTTCTCCGCAGGTGCGTCGCCATGGCCGCCGTCTTCCCGTACCGCGGCGGCTGCGCGCCGGTGCCGACCCCGATGGCACCGCTGCCCGACTACATGTCTGAGGAGAAGCTGCAGGAGAAAGGTGCGTGAGGCCTTTCCCCATCCCGCCTCGCTGAACGGGGCGCGCCTGACCCCATCCCGTTGCTTCTCTGTCCCCGCAGCCCGCAAGTGGCAGCAGCTGCAGGCCAAGCGCTATGCGGAAAAGAGGAAATTCGGCTTCGTGGACGCGCAGAAGGAGGACATGCCTCCCGAACACGTCCGGAAAATCATCCGCGACCACGGCGACATGACCAACAGGAAGTTCCGCCACGACAAGCGCGTCTATCTGGGGTACGGAGCTCCCCCTGAGGGGCAGCGCCTTCAGCGCAGAGCTCCCGGGGGCAGCTGTGCTCAGGCAGCAGCATCGCAGCACGAGGGTGTCAGCGGGGTGCAGGAGAGGATAAGCTGATGAAGTCGATGCTTGGAGTTCTTAAGGGAAAGCATCGTTCTGAATAGCTTGTAGCTTAAAAGAGGTTTTGGGGGGAGATTATGAACTAATCAGCTTTTTTTTCTTTATTTCATGATTAAAATGTTCTGTGAGCGTTTCTCTGTTGTTTGGGCCCAGAGAACTGTCTTGTGCAAAACACAGTCTGTTGCGTTTGTGTAGAGTTACCCATAAAAACTCATTCAGTATCTTTTAGTGTTATTATTCTTGAATGTTTATAATCTATAACAATCTCTGTGAAGCCAACCAGTAGAAAAAAACGTTTGGTAGTGAAATCTGTGAAGCAGAAGGATAGTACAGAAAATTTGTGGGTTCATCACTGAAGGCCTTTATGAGCAAGTTAGCTGAGCAATCTCTAGGAGTGGAAGGTATACAGGTAACTGAACTTGCTACAGGGAGGTGACTGCTCTCTGGACATGCCTTCCAGCTGTGATCTTCCTTGATTTCTGGTTGTAGTGCTCTGAAGTACATGCCTCACGCTGTTCTGAAGCTCTTGGAGAACATGCCTATGCCCTGGGAGCAAATCAGAGATGTTCCAGTCCTGTATCACATCACAGGAGCCATCTCTTTTGTGAATGAGATTCCCTGGGTTATAGAGCCAGTGTACATTGCACAGTGGGGGTAAGTGCTTTTTCCTTAACTGGGGGGGTGCTGTGAGCGAATAACTGTGCTTCCACAATAAAGGCAGCACGTGATGGTCTCTGGTTTCTGCCAGGTCCATGTGGATTATGATGAGGAGAGAGAAAAGGGACAGACGTCACTTCAAGAGAATGAGATTTCCCCCATTTGATGATGAAGAACCTCCACTGGATTATGCTGATAACATCCTAGATGTGGAGCCCCTGGAAGCAATTCAGCTTGAACTGGATCCAGAGGAAGATGCCCCAGTACTGGACTGGTTCTATGACCACCAGCCACTGAAAGACAATAGAAAGTATGTGTCTGCCTGGTAGCACAATTCACTGTGGGGATTTAAGAAAACAAACAACAAAATCTTTATGCACTATGCAAATTATACATATGCAAAAGTGCATTAATTTTGCTTGTATAATGTTGGTCTATGAGTGGTGTTGATGGGATGAGAAGACCTTCCCTCAAGGATAGGAGGGGCAAACTGAGTGTTGTAAAGTCATCCCTCTGTCTTCAGTGTTGAGGGAAGGCAATCAAGGCCTCTCTATCCAGGCAGGTAAAAATCTGATGTTTCTTGCCACGCCATAAAGATGAAAGCCTGGATCATCTAGATTATATCTGAGTTTATATTTTAAATATAGAGTATGCTTGCACGCTGGAGCCTCTTGAATCTTGTCAGACATTAGTTTGGATATGGAGAGGGAGGGGAGCTGGGCAGATGTAGCTCATAGAAATCTTCAACAAGCCTGTAAATTTTACTTTCCTGTCTCGAGGGGGACAAGAGTTAGCTGTCCTTAATATTTTCTGCAAATAAGAGAAAGGTAAAGGACGAGTTGTCTTCTGGCTGTATTTAATGAGTGCTTTGTTTCTCTGCAGGTATGTGAATGGTTCTACCTACCAGCGCTGGCAGTTCACTCTGCCCATGATGTCCACGCTGTATCGGCTGGCCAATCAGCTGCTCACTGACCTCGTGGATGACAACTATTTCTATTTGTTTGACCTGAAAGCATTTTTCACTTCCAAGGCGCTGAACATGGCTATTCCTGGAGGTCCCAAGTTTGAGCCTCTTGTTAGAGACATCAATCTGCAGTAAGCGTTAAATCTCGGAGTAAAGATAGGCAGTTATCTGGGAAAAGATCACGAGGGTCACTGATCCGTGGTCATGTACCTTCCGTTGGGTTTGTTAATTCTGAGCATTTGCTCTTTTTAGCATTGTGATGTGCTTGTTGCTTTGGACAGTGGTTCTTACTGTGAAGAATAAGCGAAAGGAAAGGCACTGATGCTGCATCTTTGGTCAAGAATATTTGTCTTTCTGTCTCCCCCAATTGCTTGTGTGACAATTTCTTTTTGCCTTATTTGAGGGATGAAGACTGGAATGAGTTTAACGACATCAACAAAATTATCATCAGGCAGCCAATCAGGACAGAGTACAAAATTGCTTTCCCATACCTGTACAATAACCTTCCCCACCACGTCCACCTGACCTGGTAAGCACAGCAGTCTCAAGGGTGAGCAGAGGAGGGAGAAGCCACCAGCATGCCCTCATACTCGTTATGTGTTGCAGGTATCATACTCCAAACGTTGTTTTCATTAAAACAGAAGATCCTGATCTCCCAGCTTTTTACTTTGACCCGCTGATCAACCCCATTTCACACAGGCATTCTGTTAAGGTGAGTCACTGTCCAGGAGAACCTACGATAAAACCTGTGTGGAGGCAATGGGACTTTGGCATCTTTCTGTAGCCTCGTTTCTGATAATAGTGTAGATGCATGCCTCTTTAGGAGAAAGCACAAGTGCTTTCACAAAGAAAAACCTCATGCAGTTATCAGCTGTTTTCTGTAATTGCTCAAAGCTGTGTCCTGTGGTCTCTAGGATAAAGTTCAGTGCCTAAATTGCGGTGTTGTTTTATGGTCTTCTGACAGGTAGCCAGAGGTAATTCTATGACACCTTCTAGAGTGTTTTTTGCTTCTCAGATAATCAGCACTGTTGCACTTATTCCTTGACAAGAAAGAAATGCTTTTTACTCGGTTAACTTAAAAAATTAAGCTGAAGCTTTGAATCATCCAGGAAACAAGCGTTGTGTGCTTTGTGGTTTCAGAGTCAGGAACCACTGCCTGATGATGATGAAGAGTTTGAGTTACCAGAGTTCGTGGAACCTTTCTTGAAGGATACCCCGCTCTACACAGACAACACAGCCAATGGCATTGCCCTGCTGTGGGCCCCACGGCCATTCAATCTGAGGTCTGGGAGGACTCGGAGAGCTCTCGACATCCCACTGGTCAAGAACTGGTGAGTTCTGCCTGTGGGGACAGTGTATTTAGTGGTTGTGACCTTAATATTAGTGCTATGCTACAGTGGGGGGGAAAAAGTGATCTTGTGAAGCTTGCCTGGTTTCTAGAGATGTTAGGAGAGTCTGTGGACTCGTTTTTGAAGGAATGTAAGTTATCTGAAAATTTGAAGTCTGTTTCACCCCTAGGTATCGTGAGCACTGCCCAGCTGGCCAGCCAGTGAAAGTACGAGTCTCCTATCAGAAGCTGCTGAAATACTACGTTTTGAATGCCCTCAAGCACAGACCCCCTAAGGCCCAGAAGAAGAGGTAAATGGGACCTATTCAGTGGGGAACTGCTGAGCTGTGTAAGGGATTCAGCTAATTA